AAAAAAAAAAAAAAAAAAAAAAAAAATGCTCACATGATAATGCAGCAATCAAAGCGTAAAAGTAAAGGAGGTAGATAGATACGTGATACACTCAAAAAGAAAAAAAACAGTTGACAATTTACTATGAATGGAAAATTTTATTTCTTTAATGTACATAATCAAAACGCGTTGAGCCTACGTGACTATTTCTGGTGCTTCGGAATTCTATGTGGCAAAATTACATACTTCGTTGTAAGGCTTGAGTAAATTTTAATTTAATTCTAAACCAAAAATAATTAGTTTCGAATTACCATAAATATGTTGATTATTTAAGGTCATGTTATATGTATTAATTGCATTTCAATATCATTCCTTATTATAACTATTGAATTGTATATATAGTTTAAAAGTTAATAACTTTTGTATTTTTTATCAGTTTTACATATGTAATATATCAAATTAATCTTCTTTTGATGAGCTTCGATTTAACATCCATATTGTATATATATATAAAAAAATAATTATATTTATCTTTATAACAATAATAAAATTATTTTTAATATTAATTAGAAAAATAAAATTATTTATCAACTAATATATTTATATTTCAAGTAGTTATATGATATAAGTTATAAAAACTATATAATATAACACATGTAAGTCATAAGTAACACATATCATTCTAAAATATATAGTAATATATTTTTTTGTAAAAAAGTAAACTAAATTTAATATAATTTTCTCATTAATTTTAAAAGTTTAGAATAATTTTTTGACAAACACCCGTGTAATACATGAATGTTATACTAGTCTTTATTTAATTCTGCAACTATAAAGGCAAATCATGAGTAAGATCATAAGGAATGATTAATTATGCCAAATCATGAATATATAAGATCATATTTCTTTATGAAGTTTTTGTAACTAGTTTAATTATTATATGATAGAATTGTTACAAACATATTAATATACTTAATTAATGAAAAGGTAATAATCATTTCTTAAAATTAAATTAAAAACAAATGATAAATACATTAATTCAATATATTACAATCATACATGGTACCGGCCCGAAAAGCTGCGATTCCGAGAACCGGGACCGTGCCCTTGCCGGTTCGGTCTCGGTTCACACTTTTTTTTTGGTCCCGACACCCTTGGTTTTGACGGGACGATTAAGGGTCATTCATGAGAGGCCCGTCGGCCCAACCCGATCCGTTGACTGGCCACCTCTAATACATGGATATCAATTTATATTTGAGAAGGACAAATTGAGAAAGAATACAAAACTATTTTAGGCAACTTGGAATTGAGATTCTAACGAAATCATATATATATATATA